GGCTTCAAATCTCAGCCTGCTGTGTGGCCCTGGACAAGTTACTGTACTTCTCTGTGCCTCAGTTTCCTTGTCTGTAAGATGTAGGTAACAAAAGAAAGAACCTTATAGGGTCATTGTGTGGATTCAGTTAGGTCTTGAAGTCAGTGTTTAAAATGGTGCTTGACACAGAGGCACTCAACTCGAGCTGCTATTCCGATTTCTAGGTCAGGCCCAGCTATCTTGTGGGAGGAAGAGATTCCGGCATTGTGGGGACCTTGAATCTCTGCCAGTGCTCATGCTAATGAACGAGTTCTTATTGGTCTAAGGTGGAAATCATCCCACAAACCCACCTGCCCTGGGACCTATGGGTGGGCAGCGAATTATTCTTCCCAGGTGAAAAGGGGTTGGAGGTAACTAAACCCTAGCACACCTAGGTACCTTTGGCCTAAAAAAAAATGTGCCCTTTTCAATCCAGGATGGGGCCATTGCACAGGGCACAGGACTAAGCCATAGCATAAGCATGTGAATTTAAAATAACGCACAGGCTTGTGTAATGGAAGAGCCTGCACTACCAGTAGTTGGGCAACTTTGGAAAGCCTCATTGGCCACATCTATAAGGTACTACGGATAATCATAGTCATTAACTCCACAGGTTTAGAATGAGGATTTGGTTAGATGACATGTAAAAGCAATTAGCATAGTGCATGGCACACAGTAAGGCCTCAATAAATGGCAGCTGCTATTACAAATAAAATAATATATAATATATGATAATTATTACTGTTGTTTATCCACTTTTCTGAATAGAGCATGCACGCATCAAGCCAGAGAAGGTACGACAGACAAAAGCCAGCTCAGAACGCAGATACAAGGGGTCAGAGCTCAGCCAGCACTTGAGTCGCACCACCAAGAATGGGGACCAGTCAAGTGTATCTACCAAGCGGCTCAGCCTTACCAGCCCCCGGGCTCCTTGGAGACGTTGTGAATGAGGGCACCACGGCAGAAGCTCAGCTCATCACTCTGCTTGGCTTTGTAGTCATACAGAGCTTTCACGGTTCTCTGAGGCTTTCAGGGAAAACAAGAAAAAAAAGGTCAGGCCGGCCGACGTGAGCGGAGGGAGGCGACTGCTTTCCCTGGCATATTTGGCTCTTCTTATTAGAAGTGGGAGGCTTCAGTCCGAGGTTACAGTGCCATCTGCTGGCGAAGTTCTGACATTGCAAAGGAACCGTAGTCCTAAAAAGTCTCCAGGGAGGGAGGATGGGGACTGGCCTTGTCAGAGCCAAGGCCACCTCAGAGTCACCCCAAATCTCTCAATTTCCTCAACAAAGAAAGGCTATACTTTTAGGTTAAGCCACACCACCATCTCTGAAGTCCTCAGTGCCCATGCTCAATAAACCCTCCCAGAAGTTCAAACTCAACACTGTTCCAGGCCCTGCAGGGCCTCACCAATAGTTTACCTAGGTCAGAAATCCCCTAACTAGACTCCTGCAGGACACTGACATTTTGCAAGAGTCACTGAGGCGCTCCTCCATTATATTCATCAAAAGGTGGCCTCTGCATTGGCAGAAACAAGTAAGCCAGAACGTACTCAGGATAAAAATTTTCTGTGATGACTGTGCTTTAATGCCTGCTGCTTGGCAAGCAATAAACCCATGGCAAAATGAACACCCACACAGCAAGCAAAGATTAATGGGAAAACCTCTGAAAGTGTCAAACCTGCTTAGATAGCAACTTTCCCCTCCCCCTACCCAAGGAAACAGGAATAGGGGTTTTACAAGGAATCCAGTAAAAGTGTTCCTTAGAGCACAGGCTACGGAGTCAAATATGTGGGTTCAAGTTATTGCTCTGCCCCTTACTCCTATATAACCTTGAGGCTCTCTCAGCCTCAGTTTCCCCATCTGTGAAATGGGAATTAAAACTTGACATGCTTCACAGGGTTGTTGAGACTATTAAATGAGATAATGCATGTAATGATAAAAATGACAATATCGAGCATTTCTGAAGGGCTTACTATAGTCAAAGCACTGCTCTAGGCATTTTATCTATAGTCTCTTCTTTAATTCTCCCAAAAATCCTAACAGGTAGGAGCAGCATTACCATGCCCATTTTACAGATGGGGAAACCGAGGTACAGAGAGATGAAGTATCTTTGCCCAAGGTTAACCAGCTGGTAAGTGGCTCAGCTCAGAGATGAATCGTCAATGTAAGTTATTGCCATAGCTCATGATGTTCCTTAAGAAGCAATCTAATCTGGGTTCTACAGGCTCTGCCATAGGAGGCTCCAAGCGGAGGCTAACCAGGTCTCCCGCCCTTGTCTCCCCCACCTGCAAATAGAGCCTGCTCTACCAGCACATCTTGCTTTCAGGGTGGACATAAGGATCGAAGCCACATCTTTCGCCATGAAACTCCACAGGTCACTGCCAGGCTCCAAGGCCACAAGGAAGATACAGCCAGTGGTAGAGGTGGCGGTGCCGTATCATGGCTTCCAGAAGGAGCAAGTCTCCAGCCTGACAGATGGTCCTTCATGAACTACACAGAAACAAGCCATCCATCAGATGACCAAGTAGGCGTGTGGCAATGAAAAGTGGCTGAGAGCGCATACATCGCAGCTCCAAACCTTCCTAGCTATGTGACCTCAGCAATTATTCAATATTCAACCTCTATGTGCCTCAGCTTCCTCATCTGTACAATGGGCACAAAAAAATAGTACCCATTGCATGGCTTTTGTGAAGATTAATGAGCTGTCAAGTGCTTAGAACATTGCTTGATGTGTGATCATCGATATGTTACCTATTATTGATCCAGTCATTCCAGTTCTAACAACTCATCCAAAGGGAAGAATGCAAAAGATACCCAAAGCATCACATGTGGAGGAGTTCATTTTAGGGTTAACAAGAAGAGTGAGGACCAAAAGTGACCCAATGGCATAGGAAGATTTTTCTCTTTAACTTGGTTCACTTGCCAGGACTTAAACATGGGGAAATTGCACATAAAACATCTAGATTATTGGCTTATCTTGAGAAATCAGGCCTGGCCTGCTCCCTGGAAAGGATCCACGTTCACGGGGAGTGGCTGGCTGCCCTTGAGTCAAACTGTGTGTTCCTCAGTTTACCTAACCCCCCCCCCAATCCCCGACATCTGGCCCCCAAATGAGGCCATGTCATTCTCATTACCAAAGCATTCCTCACTTCCAATAAAAGCTCTCACAATTAAGCTAAGTCCCCTAAACGTTTTTCACACAGCTCCATTTGTCTACCACTTTTTGAGACTTCATTTCCTGCTGAAAGGGATGTGCTGTGGCCAAGGATTATAAGTTTTAAAAAAGGAAAAGATATATGTCTCTGGATTTCTACAGAGCCCACCAGTGGGGTCCCTTTTTAATCAAGAACTGTACACAAATCGTGTGCCAGACAGCACCCCCCCACACACCCCGCACCCAAACAGAAAATTCGCATCATTCTTCCTCCACAGGCTCACACTAAATTTGAGATGAAGCCAGAGCCAGGAAGAGCTGGGGGCAAAGAGTAAACTCCCTCCCTCCCTGCATGAAATTACACAACAGCCAGGGTGGGAATAGGAGATAGCGTTCACACTGCAAGGAGGTCAGCGAAACAAACAGAATTTATAAACGCTCTCAACTCAGTCGGTGAGCAAGAGACATTTGAAAGATTTTTAATTAGAAGCCATTTGGCCCAAAGGTGGTTCATCAAACCTCAGAATTGTAGCAAGGCATAGTTGCATTTAGATGGATTTCTATTAACCTCTTCCCTGAAACTAGATGTCATATTGTCAATCATTTCTTCTAAAAAAAAAAAAAATTTTTTTTTTATTATTTTTTTTTTTTGGCCAAGTTTTCCAAAATGTTCCCTTGCCCTGTTACGATGGGGTGGGGAGAGGAGGAGGAGAAGTGGGGGGACTCCATGTCCATCTGGGGACCAGGAAAGAGTGTGAATTAAAGGTCGGCACTGTACCATAGAAGGGCTGATTTCACTGGGATCCACATACATTCTGCTGACGTCATACAGGGAGTTTATATCTCTTTCCTGAAAAAGAACGAAGACACATAAATGGGACCATCCATGCTCCTGGGATACCCCTTAAACTGAACGAGGATTTCAGGTGTTCCTGTGCTTTCTTACCTGCTGGTCAAAGAGCTGAAACTTCACAGTTCACTCATGCCTCATGGGTAGAGACAGTAAGGAGCTATCACGAAGTTCCCCAAAACTTGGAAGCTTTACCCCAAAACGAGAAAGGCCCCTATCCTGGCCTACTATGTGCCATGTCTCTTTCTCACCTGCATTCAGTGTCAGTAGCTTGAAACTGTCTGCCATGAAAGTATTTACACCATGGCAACTGGCAAATGCCACAAACCAGGGCTTCTTTTCTCAAGAGAGCTGGTTAAACATTTACTGCACTCACCGAAGACCCATCCTGCCCTCTACTATCTCTCACTGGGCTCTAGTCACACTGGCCACCATTCTGTCCCTCAGAGTCCCCTCAAGGCTCGTGCTGTGCCTGTTCCTCCCCCTAGAATCGGCTTCCTTCTCAGCCACCATGGCCAATTCATCCTCTCCTCTAGTTTTCAGCTCGCATTTTAACCCTCTGCACGAGGCCTTCCCTGACCTCCCCTGCCCCAATCTAATGGTGCCCACCCCTTACAGCACCATCCTGTTTGATTTTCTTTGGTTGTAATTCACACTGCCTGGAGGCACCTAATTTATGTGATTATCTGTTATCCAGCTCCCCTACCTAAAACCTAAATTTCCCAAGGGCAGACTTGACCCACCATACTCCCAGTTACCTAGAACAGTTCCTGGCACCTGGTAGGTGCACCATACATCTCTTTTCAGTAAGTTAATAAATGCACTGGATAGAAACTGAGACGTGGTCACCAGATCAGGTCTTTTTTCGGCTCAGAACCCTCCAATAGCTCAGAATAAAAGCAAGTGTCTTACAATGACCCTACACCATGCTGCCCTCTATTAATCCCCATCCTTATTAAGTTCTACCCCTATCTTAGCTCACTCAATTCCAGCCACACCAGCTTCTTCTCTGTGTCTCCAGGCACACCCTTACCTCAGGACCTTTGCACTCGCTGTTCCTTCTTCCTCCACGAAGCAGCATGACCCACTGCTTCACCTCCACTAGTGTCTGCTCAAATGTCGCCTTCTCAGTGACATCTTCCCAGGCCACCTTTCAGAATGGCGACCATTTCCCCATCACTCTGTATCCACTTGTTCACCTGCCCAGTTTGTTTTTCTCCATAGCACTTATCACCATCTGACACATGCTCTGTATTTTTTTTTAAATTTATCTCATGTATTACCTGTCTCGCCTACACTAGACTGCAACCAGCATGAGATCAGGGTCTTTGTCCACTGTGTTCAATTTTGTATCCTTGGGGTATCAGATACATGGTTTAGTGCACCATAAAAGTTTGCGGAATGAACAGATGCCTCAGAACCTCAGACGAGACATTCCACCAAATCACTAGTGAGTCAACCGCGTACCATATTGTAGCGTTCCAGGAGCTCAGGGGTCACGGGGTAGCGCAGTCTCATCTTTCGGTAGAGCGCGTGCTTCTCGTAGTAACTGACGAGCTCCACCAGACTCTCGAAGTAGGCGGAGGTCCCCAGCACAAAGTGCCGGCCATCCCGGTTGATGCGACAGTGCTTCACCTTGCCCCTGGCCCTGGAGGGGGAAGATCACACTGGGCTGACACACCAAGAACCTGGCAACCAGACAACTGCTCTATAATCCCTGCGTCTTAGAAACAACCTAGCTGTCCATTCTTAGGGGACCAGGTTGTACAAGGATGCAGCGCTCCTATGGAATACAATAATGTGGGTCTTTTCAGAGCAGATACAGAGGAGCCTGTACCTCAGGACAAATAAGGGGAATGACTCAACAGCTAGTTCCTCTCGCCTGCTACTCCTCCCCAACTGCAGAACTTGACTTTTTGGGAATACCCTAGTGTCCAGATCAGGATCAGCAAACTATGGCCCACAGGCCAAACCCGCCCCACCCCGTTTTTGTAAATAAAGTTTTATTGAAACATGGCCACGTTCATTTGTTTATGTATTGCCTGTAGCTGAATTCACTCTACAAGGGCAAAGCCAAATAGTTGCAACAGAGATCATATGGTTTGCCAGGCCTAAAATATTTACCCTCTGGCCCTTTATAGAAAATGTTTCCCCATCTCTACTCTCGAACTCTGGGACTTGGTGCCCGAATCCTTAAATCTTATCTAAAAATGAACCAACTAGTGCAACAGCGGAATTTTCTTTCCCCCAAAAGGAAATAAGTCTTTTATTTCCTCAGCCATTTGAAACAAGGGGGGGGGGGAAGCCAATACAGAACAGACTCCTCAGTCTTACTAGCTTTCATCAGCAAGAATAGAAACATTTGGGAAAATAAGTTTTGACCTTAACTTTACAGCCAAGAGCATCTTTTTATTAAAACTGTCTAACAGCACAGTTACTATAGGCGAACTACTCATCTTTTAAAAATGTTGCACCTGAGAGACCTTTTTTATGGTTTTAAAACACATGTCCTGTTTAAGCCATTTCTTCAAAAAGCCCTGTAATAATTGCTAGAAGACTTCTGTGTCAGTAGCCCATTTGCAGTCTTTAATAAATTAAATTTAAAAAAAAAAAAAAGAAAGAAAGAAAAAGAAATACTGCTGAGTGGAAAAACAAGCTGCAGAATGAGATTATAGGATGATCCCATTTGTATTTTTTAAAACGAGAACAGATTACCCACACACAAAATGGCACTTTATATTTTCCATAGGTGCATACATATGTACGTCAATATTTTTTTTTAAAGTCTCGATGGAGACACCCGTCAGAAAACTCTACTTTCTGCAAGATGAGGATTATGATAAGTAGGACCACCAGAGACTTCAGCCTTCATTGCACTGTCTTAATTTTTTTACAAGAAGACTATACCATTAAAAAATTCATTTTAAAGGTTTTTACAAAAGCGTCCTAGGGCAGGGGGCTCTGGGGTATTAAGAGCATGGGTCACCTCTCTGAGCCTCAGTTTCCTCACCTCCAGTGCTGGGGATTCAAAGCTCCCATCTGGCAAATGTAAGCTTACCCAAGGCAAGCCCTGTGCAGTGTGTCCAGCACCGAGAGGGTACTCAGCGAATGAATGGTTAGGAAAATATAAACAAAGTCAAGTTTCCCTGGGCAAGAGATGGAAACAGGAGCAGGGCTGAAGTAGAAGTTGTGACTTCAGCCCTCCTGGACTGTGTTGCTATAGGTCAGAGGGCGCCACGTCCTGAGGTCTTCACTTCACCAAGAAGCCTCTGGTCCCACCAAGGGACACCTCCCACCCAGCACGCCCAGACAACAACTTCATCTCTTTGCATGGACTGGAAAACAGATGCTTCTCCTCTCCTGTGGAAATGCAGCCAGAAATTCAGTATATGTTCTCAGAGCCAAGAACAGCGCCCGGCATAGGAGAGGTACTCCACAAATGTATGTGGGGGGAGGAAGAAGAGGAAAAGTTCCTCCAGGCCTGTGCTCTCCCTCTGCCTGAAGCACATCCCCCACCCTGTCCCCATAGAACGCCTGTTCCCCCTCTGTCCCGCTGCCTGACCACTCTCTGAGACACTTATCACACACTAGTACAGCAATCTGTTTTTAGGTGACTCTCCTCCCAGAGGCAGTGCTTCTCAACGAGGGACAGAGATGCCCACCGCACACCCGGATCAGCGTGAGTCTGAACAAACGTGTGCGACCAGGGCAGGAAGAGGTCATTTTGACTATGACAGTGACTGAGGGCCCTCAACAGGCATGCAGCGCGGGGAGGCCAGAGACGTTCACCACCCCACCATGGTGGAAATATCCTTTCCCAACCCCTCCTCTTTGAGACACCACCTGCTGGACTAAGCTTCCCTGACAGAGTAACCGACCTCATGGCTGACTCATTCAGTCAGCACTTGCTGACCATCTGCTGTCTCCCACCTCATGCAAGGTAAGAGGAAACTGGTCAAAAGCAAGGAACGCTTGTGAGCAAGGTGACCTCTCTCATCCCCACCAGACTGTTGGCTTTGTGACAGCAGGACCAGGCTGTGTTTATCATTCCCACATTTCTGGGGCTCGGCACAGGGACTAGCACATGGTAGGTGCGCATTGAGCATGTACAGGGACTAGCACATAGTAGGTGCTCGTTGAGCATTTACTGATTCCTAAAAATGAAACACCACAGCCTTCAGGGTGCCTCCAATCTCATGGGGAGGACAGACACACAAACAGAATGGTGAACATATATACATCAAGCATCAATCTGGGGACCCCCCCCTCATTTTCATATATGTGGTTCTAGTGAAGTGACCCCAACCCCACTGTGAGCTGGAGGGTGCCCAATCAGAATCATAGCACCCAGCTCAAGCAGGGGACAGTGGGAGTACATCACAGGACTCGTCCTTTCTCCTGGGCACTGTCCTAGCACCCCAAGAGAAAGCCACCTGAGAATGAAGCCGTGGAGAGGAGCACCAAGACACACAGAGCTAGTCTCCTGAAGACTGTCAGGTGAGACCTGTCTCCAAGCCTGTCAAAAGCCAGTGTTACCTCTTGAGCATCTCAGTTGGTAGCGAACAAATCATACCCTTTTTGTTTGTTTCAGCCATCGAGTTTGATTTGTCACTTGTACTCAAAAGTATCCTGACTGATTGAAAGAACTACGGCATGATCCCCAACACCCAGCATGGTGGCTGTACAAGATGTTCAATTAAACACGCCCAGTTCCCATCCAGGCAGAGGAGGAACCACTAAGAGCTTTGGGGAACAGGGCAAAGGGTAGAGGCACCAATGTCAAGAAGCCCAGGGCATCCCTGCTGGCAGCACAAAACACAAAAGAGCCGTGCTGGCTGGAGTCGGCGCACAGTAAGCACACAGTAGGTCCTTGGTAAACATTAGTGATAATCGCCCACCAAGAAGGCAGCTCAGGGATAACTGGAGGAGAAGAGGACAAATCCAAATGCCCAGAGGGCCACCTGGCAGGACAATAGGATGGAAGGAACAGGAGTGGCCTGGGCACAGCGGGGCCCCTCCTGTGCAGCTGGTAACCACCATCACCAAATGGGGACATGGGCCCAGAGCTTCTACCTCAATCAGCAGCAATCTGAATTCTCAAGTGAAATTTCTTACATTTTCACATCACCATGCAAACCTGAGCAAAGCATCCACAGGCCCAATTTGACCCACTGGCCTCTTGCTTGAGACCTCACAGTGAAGGAAGAACACAGGCTTTGGAGGTCAACAGGCCTGAGTCTAAAATTCTGACTCATCCCAGGACTAGGCTGTGTGGCTCTAGACAAGTCACTTAACCTCTCTGGGCCCCCATTTCCTTACTGGATCTACCCCTCACCAGCTACAATGAAGGACTCAACCAGATGAAATCTCAAAGACAAGCCAGTATCTGGAACATTAGTTAGGAACTCAATATACAGTAGCCAGCATTCTATCACCATCATCAAGAATAAACAGGAGCTGGGAAGACAAAGGGACAGTAGGAGGAACTTGGTCTGAATCCCGCCTCCCCAACACTGTCATTGGTGGAAACTGGAGGAATCAGGTGTCTTGGGGTGGAATTAAAGTAGAGAACCACAGTCCTAGAGATGGTTGGTCCATACAACCTTCCCACTGGCAGTGCTGGGTGGCAAGAGAAAATAGGAGGATGTCAGATCTATAACATCACTGATCTGGGCTGCCTGGGCTGCCGGGGTTCGAATCCCAGCTCCACTACTTCCCGGCTGAGTGTCTCAGCAACTTACTTAACTACTCTGTTCCTGTTTCTTCCTCAGACACAGATCACAGTCACAGACTTGTTAAGAAGATGGAGTTCATATAAAACATTATTCTCAAGAAAACAGACCAGGGCCCAGCACACTGAGAGCACATCATTATTATTATTATTGTCGTCGTTGTTGAGCCTCTTGGGAGAGTCGCTGTGACCTAAACCTCCACCGGCAGGTCCCCCTGTGTTCCCCACACCTGGCCTTCCTAAACCTCCTCTGGAGAGCAGGCAGCAGGCTCCAGCCTGTGGACTTACCTGAAGGTGATGGCGTAGGAGTCGCTACCTTCCCGTTTCCGGATGAGAAAGGCCCCATCCCGGGGAACCCTCATCAGCATGTCCTCCGCTTCTCCACGGCTCAGCCCATCGTAGTACCACCTGCAGCAAAGGACCAGGAAATGGTCAAGTGAGAGGGCCAGCCGCAGAGGAGGACACAGTGGGCTGAGGAGGCCTGAAATATAGCCCCAGGAACCATTGTGGAAACTACACAGTGGGCCTCCGATCCAAAACGCTTCTGAAGATGGCATTTTTTTAAAAAGGCCACCAAGACACACATAGTTTGGGTGAAATGTTCATGTAGTGGGTCTGTTTGGAGCACAAGGGAATAAGTCAACTAATCTTTATTCCTCCCACTCCCCCACCCCACATTGGCCCAACTCTGAAGAGCCAGCCTCAGAGGATGGGACAAGCCACTGCAGAGCATCTCAGACAATAGGAGGCTCTCAGAGAACACAGGAAGTAGCGTTTTAGACAGAGTTTTTGTTTAGTTGGTCTTTGGTTACTTGAAAAGATGATGTGAAACAACAAATTTTAAAAGGCAGCCCGTATGAATATAGACAAAAGATGTAAAACATTATATAAAGCTGCCGTAAGTTATCTGGCTTTCTCAGAAATGTGCATTTTAACAGCCTTCTGCTTAAAACTTGCTTTTTTCTTTGTTTCCAGAATGGGTTAACCCTTTGCAAGGCATAACTGATATTCAGTTTACCAGGTAAAAAATAAGGAAGGGGAAACCTTTATAATGGCTCTTTCCTTGTTCGCTTTCAGAACAGGAATAAGCTTTGACAAGCAAAAGGATAGCACCAAGCCAAAATTAACCTCTGAAAATCAAGGCTCAGGAGCTCAGGACCATGAAGAAAAAGTAGAAGAAAGGAAGGGAGAGAAAAGAGAACGTGGGGCAAAAATAAAGGAGAGCAGGTTTTTGAAAACTGTGACCACCCCGGGAACTTTAAGAGATCCCAGAGGGCGAGCTACAGGGGAATTGGGGTCCAGCATATCCACGAGGCTGGCTTTTCTGATTGGTGAACACGGTCTGCAAGGGTGTCTGCGCTCCACTGAACCCATGGAGTTGCTGCCTGAGAGGTGCTGCCCCAAGAGCAATGGGCTCACGTACGGCTTTGATTCATGGGGGTTGGGGTTGGGCACAGGGTCAGTGAGCCGGAGCTCGAAGTCGGCACAGCGCAGGTGTGTCTCACGGTAGTGCTGGATGAGGGCATAGATGCTGGTGAACATGAGGTTGTCAGTCAGGTAGTACTTCATGATCCCGCCCTCCATGGTGGAGCGGATCCGGCAGTGCTGAACCCGGTTGGACCGCCTGCGGGGAGGGGGACAATATCAGTGCCCAGGATCGGTCAGCTGGCCCTTCCTGCACCCTGAGCATCAGAGAACACAGGCCAGGGCCAGAATTGCAGCCAGGGACCCTGCGAGGTGTGACCATACTGGCCTCCCCTTGCTCCGACAGCAGGCCTGGGGTTTTAGCACAGGTTGATCCTTTGACCTGGATTCCAGAACATTCTACCTACTTCCTCCACCCACTTGCCCCTTTTTACCTACATAACTTCCTACTTTGGAGCCAGATGACGTAGGTTCAAATCCTGACTGTGCCACTTACGAGCCACCTTGAACACACGACCTGTCCTCTCTTATTATCTTAGTGGTCAAACAACGATAATAACAATATTTTCCCTCATGGAGTTGTCCTGAAGCTTGAACGAGGTCACACATAAAATGTGTTGCCTGGCACATAATAAGCATGTGTTATCATGATTATTTGTATGCTGTTATTATCATTTTTTATCCTTCAGGTCTCATTTTAAAGCTACTTTTTTCAGGAAGTCGTCGTACCCCCGGACCTCCAACATTACCTTAGATTCCCTCTAAAAGACTTTCATAACATCTTGCATTTTTCTCACTGCACTTATCCAACTACAATGATGTATCATTTGCATGACTACTTGTTCATTGTCCATCTTCTCCACCAGACTCTAATCTCCATCAGGACAGGGACCCTGTCTGTCTCGTCACTGCTAAATCACAGTACTGACCACAGAGCTAGCACTTGATAAGTATCTTTTAATGAATGAAAGCACAGATGGATGCGTGAGTGAGTGAGTGAGTGGGTGGGTGGGTGGATGGGTGGATGGATGGATGAATGAATAAGAAAGATCACGACAGCTCCATAAGGCTGCCTTTAGAATCTGTATTTTAGAGACAAGGAGATGGAGAATTCAGGAGGCTGAGTGAATGGCCCAGGGTCATACCACCTGTTCCAGGACTGGAATTCGGGGCACGTGAGTGAGGCCATATTGTATTAAGTGAAGGGCTCAGATCCCATCTTTATTTAAAATGCTGATATTTTGTTCATCACGAATTTTTTTGTAAAACTTCTCTTTTTTTTTAAATATTGTCTTGAAATATCACTAATCTTGAAATATCACTGATTACTAAGTTTTGCCTAAATGAAGTCCAGGGTTCCAGTCCAGGCCTGCCTGAGTCTGGCCTGAGAGCCCACCACTTGCCACCCAGTTTCCCATCTGGCCAGCTGCCGGGGGAAAGTGGACATGCCCAAGGCAGAGGGCCATTACCAGAAGGACAGGGTGTAGTCATTGGGGAACCTCTCGCTCTCCCGCACCAAGAAGGTCCCATCCTTGCCCCCCGTTTCGTTGCAGTATTCCTGCAGCAGCTTCTCAGCACTTATCCTCTTCTCCACCTTCTTATGGAACCACTTCTCTCCAAAATGCAGCTCTGTGGGAGGGGTATCCTGGACAACGAAGAGAGGAGGGGTTTCTGAAAACCTGGACCAGAAACCCAGCATCACCAGACTGGTCCCTCTTCACATGAGAACTTGGAGGGCTGGATACAGACAGAGGCTGGCCTCACCTTGCCCTCACCTCAAGAGGTCTGGGAAGATAGCTTCCAATGCCCGCCACTGTCTACCACTTTCTCCTGACAGCTCTCATCTGTGGTAGCCTCCAGGAGTCCTGAGACATGGGTGGGGTAAGGGGTTCCCAGTTCAGCCCTCAACTCTATTGCAAAGGAAGTCTGAGAGCCATAATGCCCTGGGGGCTACACTCAAGAAACAGTACCAAGGAGGCCCAACAGCCCACGGGGAGAGGGCAGGAAAGCCAGGATGTGGGGCTGGACATAACATCCAAATATCCCCATCCTCCCTAGGGAGCACAAGCCATTCAGGCCCTTCAGAGAACAGGAAAGATCCTTGAACCTCATTGGTTACGCCCCTGGACCAGCCAGCCAATCAGAGAAGAGCCAGGCAGGCCTTGGTACCCAAAGGGGCAACTCCTTGGGCTGAGAATATCCAGGCCTGGTAGCCACAGGATGAGAGGAGCAGTCTAGGAGGTCTCCACCTACCTGGGGCAGTTCGTCTTCCATAGTCTGTTCAATGTCATCGCTGAAGGACAGCTTGGCATCCGCAATGGCGCAGTAGTGCCGAGTCCATTTCTAGAAAGCAAAACCAGCATTTGCTCTTCCCCAAAGTCTCTGCTCCATTAAATCTGGGGCCCAGGGCTCCCACCTGGCATCACCCCCCGCATTCCCTAGGGGCTCGCCTCAATAACTTTCACATACATTTATTGTGGTTTCACAGAATTTGATCTTCTTTGAGATGTTTCTTTTAAAACATCTATTTATTTTGGGGTTCTCTTGGCATTTTTAGGATTTTTTTATTCAATGTATCAAAGGGTAGGTGTTAACTGAATATCAAATTTCTATTTCATATTTAATTTGAAGCCTTTTATGAATGATGGGATTGTTTTTTGTGTCAAGACTGTCTTCTATTTCATCCATTTTTTAAGACTTTCAAGATTTCTCAGCCAGTTTGTCTAGAGACCCTTTCTTCAACATGTAATTGTGACTTAATTCTTTATTTAAATTTTAATCATTTTAACCATTTTTAATGTTTATTTCTAGGACACACGAATAGACATGTGAAAATACACTCAAATGGGTTTACATGTTAGGTTAAGGAATATAAGAAATGGTGCTGGCGCTCAAAATGCCTTATTCTCACCAAAAAATAAGGTTTCCAGTAGAACTGTCCCAGATTAGAAGACACCAAGGAGTTAGGACAACTAAATGCATTGTTGCATCCCGGGTTGGATCCTGGACCATTAAAAGGACATTAGTGGACAAACTGGTGATACTGATACTGTAATAAGGTCTATGAACTCGTCAGTAGGAATATGCCAATGTTAACTTCCTGGTTACAATAATTACGCTCTGATTATGTGGGATGTTAGTGTTTGGAGACTCTAGGTGAAGGGTATATGGGAACAATTCTGTGTGTGTGTGTGTGTGTGTGTGTGTGTGTGTGTGTGTGTAAATATGTAGTGTGTTATATTGAATACAAAATTATTTCAAAATAAAACATTAAAAATATAAAAGAAAAACAAGGTTTCATTGTAATGATAAATTCACTTGGGTGAAAACGGGAGTAAGACAAGAATATTCTCTGAGCTCTCCAGAAGTCCTTGGATACGTGCAAGGCTCTGGAAAGGGCTGCAAGAAGACCCACCTGGTCGATGGCATCCCACATGTACAGTTCACCCTGCTGCTTGTGCTCATCCTTCTTGTCCTCCATATTGACATCTATGTCACCTCGGGGGCCCAGCTTCTTATGCTGAGGGGAAAAAAACAAAACAAAAACATATATATATATATATATATATATATATATATATATATATATATACACACACACACATATAGCCTGACTCCCTTGAGACCCAGGTTTAGGATCTCTGAGCCAGCAAACATTCATCCACATTAGCCAGCCAGCAGGCATCCATCTGCAGCGTCCTACCTCAGGGCCTTTGCACTGTCTGTTCTCTCTGCCTGGCTCCTCGCTCACGACATTCAGCTCTGTGCTCGGTGTCACCTCCTCCGAGCAGCTCTCCTCAACTACTGATCTGAAAATCGCCCACACTCCCCTTCCCATCTCTTCACTCTCTAGCCCTTGGTAGTTATTTCTCATACTCTGAGTCCTATGTCTTTCTATGTATCTGTCTGTCTGTCTTCTGTCTTCCCTGCTAGAATATACTCGTAAGTCCCATGAGGACCATTAAAATGGAACATTAAAAATGGTTAAAAGTTCCCTGGGACTTTGTTTCATTCCTTGTTGGGTCTCCTGTGCTAGCTCAGCAGACAGTAAGTGTGTGACAAGGTATTTGATGAATCAATGATGCCACCCATGTGCCCGACATTCTCCAGCACACCGACAGGGAGGAAGGACAGCAGCCTGCCCAGTGGGCACAGGATGTGCAGGGCAACAGAAGGCACACTGAGGATGTAGGGTAAGGAGGCCTGGGTGCAAACAGCACTGCTGCCACTTTATCAGCTGTGTGACCCTGGGCAGGTGGCCACACTTCTGAGCCTCACAATTCTCATCTGTAAGATTAGGATGATGACTACAACACACTCACCTGGGTGAGTACTGACCACCCAACCTAGACAAGGTTGGGGTGACCTGGTGGAAAGAGCTCATGCTTAGGAGTCAGGCCTGGGTTTAAATTCAAAGCCTATCACCTTACTAGCTGTGTGACCTTGACCACATGACAATCTCTCAGTCTCAGTAACATCCTCCATAAACTGGGGATAATGACACCTCTGAAGGATCCTGTAAGCCAACGGGCATGTAAGATGCCTGTAAACAGTAAAGCATGACAAAGGTGTTCCATTTTGAACAGCCTTTAGCTATTTCTTTGGCAAGAGCTAACTGTGTAATCTCAACTGAGTCATTTAATCTCCAGACCTCAGTGTCCACATCTGTAAAGTGGGCGAGGGGAGGGAGCCTGGGTAAGTCTTGCAGGGTTGTGATGAGATTGAATAAGAAAATACTTACAACCATGCCTAGCCCAGCACACACTAGTTCTATCACAAATGCTATCTCCACCCCCTTGTCCCTGAAATAGAAAGGGGTGAGCCATGATGTACCACAGGTAGGGCAATGAGTGCTCTAAAAGGACCTTTACACTCTCAAATAAGAGCTGAAACTCCCTGGGGACACACAGAGAGCTGTCCTAACAAAAACAGAGGGAAGGGCTGGCCGAGTGGCGCGATGGGTAAGAACTGGCTTGGGATGCCAGAGGGCCCCAGTTCGGATCCCACATATGAGGGCCAGTGACACTGCCCTCTACAGCTAAGATGCTGAACAACAGCTCAACCTGGAGCTGGGCTGCCATGAGTCGCCGGCGACGGCATAGGCTGCAGCCCCTGTGGCAGTGGGTTGCCATGGGCTACCGTGTGTAGCCAGCAGCCAGCGTGAGCGGCCAGCAGCCGCAGTGAGCTGCCATCCAGAAGCCGGCGACCGATCTGCCTCACCTGGGAAGAGAGCAATGATGGTGCCAACTTGGGCCAGTGAAGCAATGTCCTCCACAACTAGACTGAAGAACAAAAGGACAGCAACTTGTCTGTTCCCCTTCCCCCAATTCCCCAATAAAAATCTTTAAAAAAAAAAAAAAAAAGAAAAAAAAAAGAGGGAAGCGACAGATGAGTGAGCTGGGAACAAAGAAACACAGTGACGTCCCCTGAAGATGCAATGACCAAACGCCTAAGAAGCTGGGGGCCCTCCCTGGCCCAGGTTCCTCTGTCACTTGTCCTGCCTTCCCCATGCTGGATGCTTCTCTTGGCGTCTCAATGAAAACTGCCCCAGGATCTTAGCCAAATCCTCCAAGTATGCTGGTGCTTTTAGTCTTGAGGGCACCAACGTCCCCTCCTCTGGATGGGCCTCAGCCAAAGCCCCCCGACACTGTTGCATGCTTCTCTGTTGATGGGTCTGTCTTCCTACTATACCGTGACCTCCTGGCACATAGGGAGTTGTCCCCAATATATCCAGTGACCCAGTGACAAAATCTGCCAAGTAAACACCTGTCCATCCTTCCATATCAGCCTGCTAGCTGTCAACAAAATCCATCCAACTCTTTCTACTAATGGTTGCTCTACTAGAGACTTCATATCCCAGCCTCCCTTGCAGGTAGGTGGTGTGGTCATAGGACTAAGTTCTCACACAGCACAGGACAGGCTGGGATGGGTACAGCTGACATGCACTTGTTTACTAGAAATCACTGGCCCTGGGCCCTCTCACATGCCCCTTTCTATGAGATGGAGCTCTACCACACACAGCAGGATGGTGCCCTAGGGCAGAGCCTTCACCATCTATGCCACGGGGCCTCCCCAGTTGAAGTCTGGAGAAGACTGTGGACCCCATTATCAGAATAATGTTTACATTGCATAAAATTATAAGAGAAACAAATTATATTGAAATATAATTATTAAGATATTAAATAAAAAATATTTACAGCGTACTAAAGATATTCTTTCTTTATAATATCTTGTATAAGATCTAGAGGCAGATCTAATAACTACCATAATTTCAAAATGGTGATGAGTACAACATTATTCTGACATATTTGCAATAACTGTAAATGTGATATGAAAATATCCATGATTTCTGCTGATGACAAAGCCCCAAGAGGCTTATCGCCAATATTCATAAGAGAAGGAAATGTTTTTACTTATAGGTTAATAAAAATAAAGAGACAATGTTTTTTTCCCAAAGTTCACACACCACCCCTCCTGAATTCTATCTGTGGATTCTTTCGGGGTCTCCAGAACCCCAGCTGAAAACCCCTTCCCTGGGAGAACAATACCTTGGATCCTGGATAACCTTGTGAGCCAGAGCTCAAAGCTTCGAGAACACTCCCCCTCAGATGAGGAAGAAATCAACTCTTACATGCTTTAAGGCACTGCATATCTGGTCTCTCTATCCTCATCATACAAATACCCAAATGTCACCCCTCTCCGTGGCATCTCTGGCACTCCTGGGCACAGCAATCACTCATGTCTCCCCACAGCGCTTGGCACACCACCCCATTAGCGCACGTAGCCTTTTTGGGCAGCTGCCAACCTCCAGTCCATCTCCCACACTAGACTGGGAGCTCCTGAGGGCAAGAACAGTGCCTGGGTCATTAGAACAACCCTGCCACCTTGCACGGGATTCAGAGAGGGGCATGGTGGAGGTGTGCCAAAAGAATGCACGGTTGTGAGTTATTACTTACATAGCACCTGCTATGGGACGGGCGCAGTTGTAAGCACTCGCACACCTACTTTCACATTATGTGCCCACAGCACACTAACCATGTAGGTTCTTATTATATCCAGCCCTGTCCCAGAAGACAGAGGCACCAAGAGGCTAAGTGACCTTGGCCAGGGTCACAGATTAGTAAGGAGAGCAGTAAGAGCCTGGGCAGTGGGACCTGGAGCCTGTGCCCTGAGCCACTGGCTCTCCTGAATGAACCAAAGAATGAATGAATGAATGACAGCAGCCCGAGGTCGCCTACCTTGATGATGATCTTCTCCCGCAGCTGGCTGGGTGAGGGCAGCTGGTCAGCACTGGCCTCCGTGGGCCTCATCAGCAGCAAGTCGCCGAACACCTCTTTGAACACTCTGGCCATGTAGCGCTGCTGTTCCACGCTACAGTGCTCCTCAATGGACAGGATCACCGGGAAGCTGCGGGTGGCAGAGGCCGGCCGGCTCAGCAAGGGGGCAGGCACTCCTTCTGCGCCTGCCTGGCAGAGTGGCTGGGGACCCCATCTGTGACTGCCTAGCGGAGGGGCAGGTCGGCTCATTATGGGGTACAGAGGTCACTGAACAGCCACATGGTTTCCTAGCGCCAGCCTCCTCCAGGCTCTCTGAACCAGGAAGTGACATGTGCTCTTGGCCTATAGGGGGCGCCAGCACTCAGCAGAGGACTTCCTGGCAGCGACTTTGGTCAAGGTGGAACCCAGGGTAGTGTGTTTGTGTCTGAGTGTGTGTCTGTGTGGCAGGTGGGGGGTACGGGGTGCGGATCTGTCTGTCTGTCTGCTCAACCTTAGCTGCCTTCCCCTTAAAGGCGAACCACCTGGAAATCAGACAGCTGACCTCGAGGTCACAAAGGCATGGTCTTTGATGGCTTGCACGACGTCATCAAACTTGATCTTTGTGGTCCGTGTCCAGCCGTGGTAGATGATGGGCTTCCCATCCGGCCCATCCCAGCAGTCCACTGATGGGAGAAACGTGCAGCCTCATCACCTGTCCATCACTCCCCACCTCGCCCAAGTCCACTGATGGCAGACATGCTGCCTGGCCAGCTACAAGATCAGCCCTGACCCCCATGCCAGCTCAGTTACTAGAACATGGAGGCCAAATCAATAATTACACTCAGAGGCTACCAACATGAGGACACATGTTACCTGTGTACATGTGTTACTTGTGCGGCTATGGAAAGATTTTGGTTGTTTAATTAAAGGTCCCTTTGTAATGCAATACATTTGTCCCAAAGAAACTATTTTAAATGTTTCTTTTCTAAAAAGACATTTATGTGTGTTTTATTTTCTGATTTTACTTGCCTGAACCGTGGCTTGCTTTTTTGCTAGTGGAACTAATACACAGCAGTGTGAAAATTTATTCTTAAAGGTTCACAGTAAAGTATTCAAACAGAAAACTAGATTACATAGAAGGTGAACATTCCCTGTATCTTCATCCCTCAGATGTAACAGGAACTAACAGTTTGAAACTTAATTCTTTCACATTTGCTCTTTCCCATGGGGAAGAAAGTATAAACTAGGCAACAGTCTATAGGAATAACTGCTGTTATAGTTTGATGCCATGATGAAAGGTTTTATATATATATATATATATATATATATATATATATACA